CTTTATTTATAGGCATAGTCTTGCATATAAGTTACACTTATACTTAAATGATGATAAATAGTTGACAACAAGTTAAATCATATAAATGTGAGTGGGAAATGAGTTAAAAGATTAATGAAACAGTGAAGTAATGGAGTAGTAGAGGGTTAATGCACAATAAAAATAGTGGGAGTTATTTGATAAAGTTGAAGAGGAAGCGGAAGAAATACACTAATAATATTCATAACATAACTTAATTTCATTCCTCCTTTTCTGCTTCCCTGTTTTATTAAAAATATTCAACAATATTTATATAAATTATATTACTAAAAAATATTAATTGTTTCCAACATTGTACAAAGTACTTAATCAAAATGAATATAGAAACAAAATAGGAAAAATTGATCTTTTGGTCCTTTTAGTTTTAATTAGTTTGTAATTCTATCTCTATATTTCAACTTGGTGCAGCTCAATCCTTAATTGATAGAGTTGTTAATAAAGGTTAGCCTTTGACGAGTTAGGACCTAAAAAGACCAGCCTTTTTAGAGTGCACGTGTTATTAAATTAGCATATTTTTAAAGCCTAACCCTTAGACATGTGAGTTTAGGGCCTGCCTGCAGGCTTTTATATCTTTTTTCAAATTCTAAGATTTTTTTAATTTTTTGAAATACAAAAAAAAGTAAAACTATAAATCTCCTAAAATTCTTGATTCAAATCATAAACATTAGTAAAATAAAGTGTTAAATTATTCTTTAATTTTTCAAAAAAAATACAAACCATACCTTAAACACTAACAAATTATTGTTCAAACTAGGGAAAAAAAATACAAAACTAAATAAAACAAACAAATCATAAAAATAGAAACTAAGCAGCTAAGGATTATCATTAGTTTATCCAAAAAAAAAACAAAAGAAAAGGATTAACAATTATGATTTTCATCTTCATCATTATTGAAACATCCTTCCATTGACCCTTTTTAGTACTTGTCTGGAAGTATTATGATTCAAGCGGATCAAAAATAAGCTCGTAAATTAAAAACTCGCATTTAATTTCATAGGTTACTATTCACTGGTAAATCCTAGATTCTTGGTTCAATTTTGAAAATTCATAACTAATTATAAAAAAATTGTATTGAGGTGATCTCAGTCTCCTTTTAAAGCTTTTTTTAAATTTTTATAGGAGAAAGATGTAAATATGAACTTAACTCTTCTCTATTCGTATAGTTAATTTATGGAAGTTTACTGTTTATTTGCTAAAAAATGTACTTTTCAGTTTCTCTGCCTTAATTTTGAGCAGTTATAACTCTTAGCACACACATCCATTTTAAGTAATTTACTGCTTGTTTTAAAGCTCTAGATGTATACTTTGAGCATACCAAATTTCATGGGCAGATTCCATCATTTGTCTTACTTCCACTTTGTCACAAATTTGGGGCTCATTTAGGAATAAACTATCCCCCAACTTGCATTAATAATACATAATTAATTCTTTTCATGTATATTATCATTCTATCAATGCACTAACCATTCTCATACATCATTATAGCCAATCATACATGCCATTATTATTCTTACACATTGCATAATATCAATGGCATATGTAAAAATTGATCATCATAATGAATTATCATAATAACTTATTCAATTCTTCAATCCTTCCCTTTATTCTCGCATTTCCACATTTTGCATTGTACTCCTATGCTCTTTGCACCGATTAGGACTGGTTGAAGGAGGGTGAGATTTTGGGAGAATATAAGTAGCAAACAATAACTACCCAAACATATATGGTAAGCTTAGTGTCACACCTTCATTTTAAACCCCATTATACATCCTTTAGAACAATTTGGAATCGTCACACAATGCTCAAAGTAGGTAAAACCAAGATTGAAATTTTTTTTCCCAGTTACTATTCATGCAACCCTTAAAAATCGGGTCAACTTTGAAAAATCATAACTAAATGTAGAAAAATAAAAAAAGAGTGGTTCCAAGCCTCACGAAAAGCTTATGAAATTATCTACATAGGAAAAATATTCATAAGTATCAATTTCTCACAGATCAATACCAGTTTCCATGCAATTATGTACGGTTCATTTGGTAAATTCTGGAATTTTCAGTATTTTTGCCCAACTTTGGAAGGGCATGACTTCTTGCACAAAAATCCAAATTTGATGGTTTACCACTTGATTTAAAGCTAAAAATATGATCTGTAAGCTTGCCAAATTTCAAGTCCAGACTCCAACATTTGCTAATTATTTCGGGTGTCCCAAGTTTAGCCATTTCTAGGGAAAGTTTATCCTCTAACTACACTTGTTTTGATTCTTTCTTAACCTTTTACCCATCCTTAATCATTTGGGACTTAACACATGCTTGGACATACATTCCACCATACGTTTATATGTTTAACATAGGCATACATGCTTGGCTCCCATTAGGAGCTATTATCCAACAAACATTTTTAAAGTCATAAGATTACATAACAGATTCCAAAATTTACTCTAGGATACATTGATTGTTCATTAGACCTCCGGGACAATTTCCTTGCCTTTGCCCTTGCTTGAACTCCCTCCTAGGTGGTGTTAAACATAAGAGTGAGATTTCAAAGAAATTCCAGTAGTACAGAATCACAATTATCATGCATTCCTGCAACACTACATGCAATGCTTTTGTGCATTCATCTGTTATGTGTTCATGCTTTTATGCCATGGAAAGTAAGCTATCATACATATATTCAATGGACATAATGCCAAGGCAACATAATTCAAACATTGCAATCAACAATTGCAATAAAGTTTAGTCACATCATGGCACACATTGCACACATACACATTAACACATCAATGTAAGCAAGAAAGCAATCAAATGTAATTCAATGCTACCTTTTGGTACTTAGTCCTTGATTTCCTTTAAGTTTAGGATGTTTTCTTGAGGATTTGGCAAGGTACCTATCAAACCAACACCAATGCCAATCATTCAACAGTTAATCAAACACATTACACCTTACTTAAACAATAAACCCCCTTTCTTTAGGATTTTTGGCCTAAATGTTTTTCCTTTGATTTAAGAAACCTCCTTTGCCATTCCTACATGATTTTTCATATAGAATTCAAATATCAAATCAGATTTTACAAAATCTAATCCCTTCCTTAAGTTCTGGTCAAAACAGAAACGAATTTCATAAGGGAGATGTCAAAATTTCTAACTTTGATTTTTAATGCTTTCAAATCCAATTCCTCCACATATCCCTACACAAAAATACCCAAGGAACTCAATGGAAGCATCAAAACCATCAAAATCCAACCTTAAGTCCCTGAATTCCAAAATGGATGAACACACCCCTTTTGGTTCCTAAATTTCCACATTTGATTTCAATGAATTAAAACATACTTCCATGGCACAACCTACACAAAATCACATTTCAAATTCATTAGAACCATTAAAACACATGGAATCCAATCCTATTCTTGAGTTCTTGGTTGGGCCGAAACATTTTTCTTGCACACTATGAGGTTTTCTTTCCATAATCCATTCCAAAACAACACCAAACACAATAACACAAGCTCATAATTCAACTTACTATCCACTCCTAGGACTTTCAGCAAAACAAAAATAGAGCAGCACTTCTTCCTCAATTTTTTCATGGTTTGGCCATTGAAAAAGCATAAAATTAAAGCCTAAACATACCTTAAGGAGTCTTGGATTGAAGCTTGATGATTTGCCTTGGATTGGAAGTGGTTTAAAGAGTGTTTGGAAGCCAAGAAGAAAATTGTGCAGAACCTCCCCTCTATTGTCCCTAGGGGTGTTCAAATTGTCCTGTCCCGGTAGGTCCATCCCGGTCCCGGCAACTTTGGGACGGGACGGGACGAGACAAAAAAATTTACAGGACGGGACATGGGACGGGGTCGTCTCGTCCCTGTCTCGTCCCGGGGTATATATTATAAAAAAGAATTGCAATTTTCAATTTATCCGGTCCTCCCTTCATCTCCTAAGCCCTAAATTTCTAATAGTTCATACTTCAGTTCAGTTCATACTAGCCGCGCCTCGTCTTGTCGCTCTCGCCCCTCAGAATCTCTCAGTCCAACTCTTTGCTTCCGCTGGCTTCAGAAATCAGAGCTGCCCGTCTCTTCCGTCGTTCTGTGAGAAGGTCTGTGCTCACTCCTTTCCTGACCGTCGCGCACAAGGAGATAGCTGAAGCCAAAGCCACATTTGGATCTTGAATCTGGACTACTGTCTCGCTAGCATTCTTCGTCAGATTTTTTATCTTGCGCCCGCACTCTATACTGAACTCTCCCACGACCTCGACGGCTTTGGCGCCTCTGCCTTCAGGCACGCCTCTTCCTCGTCGTTCCTTCCCTGCGGCTGTGCTCTGTTACTCCTGCGATCCCGACTCTCGCACACAATAGTAACCACCGTAGAGCTAGCGTGCCCTCTCTTCCTCAGATTTTTTGCACTCTGACACCGATGAGTACTCTCCCGCCTCTTCTTCTTTGAGTCTCCACTGATTGCGGTCTTCTCTGCCATTGACAATCACTAAAAAGTATAAAATTACCATGATTGCATAATCCTAGAGCTAACTAAAAAATTGCATCGCCTTGAATTAAAATTCTCGCCTTGTCTCTCCCTGCGCCAGCTCTGTAGTGCCCGTGGTGCCGTGCCTTTGCTGTGAAGTGTGAACTGTCCCCTGAATCAATTCATCTGCGAGGTAACTGTCTCTCCTTTTTTTAAAAAAAATTTTTGGACTACTTTGCTGTGAAGTGTGGTTTGACTGGCTTCATTAGTGAAATACAGTTAAGATATAGACTGGGGATATATTATCATTTAATGGAAGTGTCATCCATGCATTATTTGAATTGAGCATAGTTAAATGATATATATTGTATTTGATGTCAGATTGTTGTTTGTGTTGTTAGGATATATATTGAATTCGAACTAGGGATATTGATTAGTTAGTTAGCAATTTGAGTTGTAAATTATTTGTGCTTTTTTTTCTATTTATGCAGAAAAGAAGTTTAATTTATTTTAAAGATGTCAAATGCACAAACTGGTCAAGAAGATTATGGTGAAAATGAAAGTAGAACTATAGAAACACCTGTTAATGAAAAGGAAAAAGACACTGGTTTGACAAGTATTGAGGGTGAGGAAGGAGATGAACCAAGAGCAAAGAGACAGAAATCTACGGTTTGGGATCATTTTGACAAGCTTCCTTTAAGCCAAACAAATGGGCAACTTCGAGCAAAGTGCAAGTATTGTCCAACAACAATTGCTTGTCACTCTTCATATGGGACAAGTGGATTAAAAAAACATATAGAGAGGTGTGTCTTAAATCCAAACCGAATTAATAAGAAGACACAATCTTTGTTGTCAAGCTCTCAATTAGGTTCTTCTAAAACATTGAGTCATCATGTATTTCATCAAGAAGAATATAGAAAAGGTGTTGCATTATTTGTTATATTGGATGAAATGCCTTTTGAGTTGTGGAAGGTGATGGGTTTAAAGAAATGATGACTAGGATGGAACCCCGTTTTCAAGTCCCATTAAGAGCAACTGTCACTAGGGATTGTTTGGGTTTGTATCTTGAAGAAGCGAGGAAGTTGAAAATGTATTTTAAAAGAACCAAAGTTCGTGTTTGCCTCACTACAGATACATGGACTTCTTGTCAAAATTCTAACTTTATATGCTTGACTACTCACTGGATTGATAAGGAATGGATATACCAAAAGAGAATCTTGAATTTTTGTGTAGTTGAAAATCATAGGGGTGATACAATTGCATCAGAAATAGAGAAATGTTTATTAGCTTGGGGTATTGAGAAAGTGTTTACTATCACAGTTGATAATGCATCTTCAAATGATAATGCAGTGGCAAAATTAAAAGATGTTTTGAGCCATTGGAATGGTTTGGTATGTAATGGGGACTTCTTGCACTTGAGGTGTTGTGCATATATTTTGAATTTAATTGTTTGTGATGGTGTGAAGGACATGCACAGATCTATTGAAGGCATTCACAATGCCATTAAATATGTGAGGTCTTCTCCAGGAAGGTTGCTTAAATTCAAAGAGCTTGATGAGAAAATGAAAATTTACTCTAAGAGCCTCCTAACCATGGATTGTCTAACTAGGTGGAATTCAACTTACATCATGTTGGAGAATGCCATTAAATTTAGTAGCATCTTTAAAAGAATGGAGAAAGAGGATAATGATTACACAAACTATTTTGTGGAGAAAACATTAATTGGTCCTCCTGATGCTTCCAATTGGAAAGATGCTAAAGAATTTGTTGTCTTTTTAAAAGTGTTCTATGACATCACTTTGCAATTTTCAGGATCACTTTATGTTACCTCAAATATATGCTTTCAACATATAGCTGATGTGTTTGTTATCCTGCATACAAGGGCAAATAATCCTAATTTTCTGGTGTCTGATATGGCTAAGAGGATGGAAGCTAAGTATGAAAAGTATTGGGGAAAGTTGGAGAATCTCAATCCTTTGCTGGTAATAGCAATGGTTCTTGACCCTAGGTATAAAATGAAGTTTTTGAAGCTTGCTTTTAATGAGATGTTTCCTGATTCTACACAACGTGAAGCTATGACAAATAGAGTCACAAATGCCTTGTATTGTTTGTATGACTTCTATTCAAGTGGGCATGAAACAAACACATCTGAATCTCAAAATCAAAGTCAGACACAAGCATCAAGTGAACCTGCTGGCTTAAGTCAACTTCAGATGGCAATGTTGGAATCTAGGCCTCTACTGCAACTATTTGTTGCCCAAAATGAGGTTGAAGTTGAAACAGATAAATATGCAAAAGTGGAGAAGTATTTTCAAGCTGAGTTAGTTGATGTTCTTTATCCTAACTTTGATATTTTGGCATGGTGGAAAGTAAATAGTTCTAAATACAAAATCCTTTCATTGATTGCACGTGATGTCTTGGCCATGCCTGTATCCATTGTATCTTCAAAATCTGCATTTAGTATGGGAGGTCGTGTCATTGATGAATTCAGAAGTTCCCTATCATCAAATATGGCTGAGGCACTAATTTGTGCACAGAATTGGTTATCTCCATCTACATCAAAAGTAAAGGGATTTGATATTGATAGCTTCAATGATACTGATATTGGTAATTTTTATTTTTTATTTTATTTAATTTATTTTTTCAGTTTTGTTTAAATACTTTATAGTTTATACCACTAAGGCACTAACAAATTGTTCTTTTTATGGTGTTTTTTTTTGTTGCAGAAGAGCAATTAACAGCTTCAATTTCAAATCTCTTGGAAAGTTAAATTGCTTTGTAGTTGGCTCATGGTTGGTTGTTTTGACTTTTGATTTAGCTTTAATGTCATGGATTGAAATTTTTATATTATTATGTCTTGCTTGTTTTGGTTTGAACTGATTGTGTTATGACTGTCTTGAAAATGAATTATGGTGGATTGTTCTACTTGGATTGCAGATTTATTATTGTGTTCTTGATTGCTAAAAAGTGATTCAAAATATTAAAGACCTTGAGATGACAATATTAAATTGCCTTTCCACCTTTTTCTGTGTTTCTTGCAGTGTTCTCAACTGCTATATAATTTAACAGATCTTTCCATTATTAATGTAGGAGAATGTGCTTTAGTGGCGACTCCATGACCTTCAGGAACAAAAAAAAAAAAGAATGGTGGCCTGCAGGATTTTTAATGTTACAGTTTACAGAGGTGTAGGATTAATTTCAGATGCTGTTGGTGTTTTCAATATAATATCAATGAAGCTGACCCTTGATTGTGAACTGTAACTTGGCATAAATTTAACAATGATAAGACATGTGCATTTTGTTGTAATTCTCATTAAACGGACGATTGCATGGTATGTTAATTTGAGTACAGTGTTTTTCATTAATTAGATAGTCTTTGATTTAATTTTTGTAATATATAAAGAGTGACTGCAGTCTGCAGAGGAGTTTTTGTTAAAAAAGCAAGCAAAGGCCCAAAATTAACTTGAATTTACAGTTGCTCCAAAAAAAAAAAAAGAAAGCATCAAGCCCAATTCAGAAAAGGTCCAGAACTGAAATTTTAGGGGGTAAAAAAAACAGGACGGAAAAAAAAAGAGGAAAGCATCAGGCCCAATTCAGAAAAGGTCCAGAATTAAAATTTAGGGGGCAAAAAAAATAGAACAAAAAAAAAAAGAGGAAAACATTAGGCCCAATTCAAAAAAGGTCCAGAATTGATTGGGGGCAAAAAAAAAAAGGGATGGGACACGGGACAAAAATCCTGTCCCGTCCCTGTTCACCGGGACCGGACCGGGACGGGCCTGTCCCGGTCTCGTCCCGTCCCATGAACACCCCTAAGTGTCCCAATTCTGTCCGAATTTGGAGTGCCTTGTGGGGGTATTTATAGACCTCATTTGCTGTCCAAAAGCCTGGCCTTGGGCAGCTATTTTTGCCCTAAATTAAGTGCAAAATTCGGCCAAAATGAAGAACAAATCCTAGCCACACATCCTTTGACTCAAGTTTCAAGAGAGTTGATCCAATGGTTAAAAATTTGCCCAGCATACAAGCCAGCTATTCTGATCATGATGAGCATGAATTTGGGCCTTTTTGGATGCTAACCAAATGGTAAAAACTGATTAGGAAGAAATGGAATTGGTTAGGGTAATTTTAAAAATTATTTGGTCACACAATACCCGATTTCTTGCCCCCTATTAGAGAAAAATAGCTAAGGGCTTCCAAAATTCCATTTCTTTTCATGATAAATCCATATTTATTCCAAAAGTGTGATCTAGAAGTTTTGGAAATTTTTCAAGACCTCTAGGTATTTTTTTCACATTTTCTCTAAAATCGGGTCTTTACCGATAGGAATTCGGAAGTAAATTCCCCATAAATTATTTTCTCCATTTCCAATGCTTGGAAACAATTTTATAAATTCATAAATATTCCTAGGGAGTGTATCCATATTTTTACTTGAATTTTTGGAGTCCTTAGGTAATTAAAATAATTATATCACTTTAATTCCCCTTTATTTTTCCCTATTTTCCCAAAAATAATTATTTTTCTGGGAATTTTCACCAAAATTTATTTTGGGCCATTCTCACTCCCAAAACATCATAGGTGACTCAAAACCCCTAATTCCACCTTTTTCTATTTTTAGGAAATTTTTGAAAACTTTTCTCAAAATTACCGTTTTGCCCCTAGGGATCCAATAAAGTCAGTTTCATCCCATTTTGGGTTTCCATGCTTTACTCATACCTTATGCTTATCAATCATATCTCATTTCTCACATTCCCATTACTAGGGTTTCAAATTTTGGGATGTTACATTTCCCTCCCCCTTAAAATAAATTTCATCCTCGAAATTTAAACTATACCTTATTCGAAGAGTTCAGGATAATTATCTTTCATGTCATCTTCCTTCTCCCAGGTTGCTTCTTCTTGTGCCAGATTCTCCCAGATGACTTTAACCATTGGGATGGATTTCTGTCGTAGTTGCTTTACTTGACAATTAATGATCTTTACTGGTTTGATCTCCCAGGTTAGGTCATGCAGTGCAATATCTTCATATTCCAAAACATGAGAGGGATCTGGCTGGTACTTCTTTAATTGGGATACATGAAAGACATCATGTATCATACTAAGGTTTGGGGGTAGGGCCACTTTATATGCCACTGGTCCTACTTTTGACAGAATCTGGAAAGGTCCGATGTATTTTGGTGACAATTTCTTCGATTTCAAAGACCTTCCTACTCCCGTTGTTAGAGATACTTTCAAGAACACATGGTCTCCTATATCGAAGGTCAAAGACTTTTGTCGAATGTCCGCATAACTTTTCTATCTGCTTTGGGCTGTGAGCAGTTTCTGTCTAATCGACCTTATCCTCTCAGTTGTTTGCTCGACTAGGTTTGGCCCATATAGCTTTCGCTCCCCGAATTCTGTCCAACACAGTGGGGATCTGCACTTGCGATCATACAAAGCTTCATACGGAGCCATCTATATACTGGAGTGATAACTGTTATTGTAAGCAAATTCTGCTAATGGCAGATAGTCATCCCAATTACCTTTGAAATCCAATACACAGGCTCTCAACATATCTTCCAGTGTTTGTATGGTTCGCTTTGTCTGACCGTCTGTCTGTGGGTGATATGCTATACTGAAGCTCAACTTGGTGCCCATTGCTTACTGTAGTGCCTTCTAGAATCGGGATAGAAACCGAGGATCTCAGTCAGATACAATTGACCCTAGCACTCCATGAAATCTCACAATTTCTTTGATATATAACTTGGCAAGTTTTTCTGGTTGGTAATCTTTCTTTATTGCCAGAAAATGGGCAGACTTCGTTAATCGGTCAATAATCACCCATATCACGTCATATCCAGATGAGGTACGGGGTAACCCCACGATGAAATCTATGGAGATACTATCCCATTTCCATTCCTGAATATTTAGAGGATGTAAAAGCCCTGACAGTCTCTGATGCTCCGTTTTGACCTTCTGGCAAGTGAGGCATTTAGATACATACTCTATTATGTCCTTCTTCATGCCAGGCCACCAAAACATACGTCAGAGGTCCTGGTACATCTTCGTCATTCCCGGATGTATCGTATATTTATTCTTATGTGCCTCATCCAATAGCTATTGCCTGATGGACTCTAGAACATATACCCGTTCCTTATACTTCAATATTCCATCTGGTGATACCTCGATCGCATCATCCTCAGCTTTTGTTAGCTTAATCCGAAGTGTATCAGCTATCAGATCGCTCTTCTGGGCCTCTTTGATTTGTTCTATCAGTTGGGCTTCTGCTCTTCTCACTTATACTTTCTGGGTCATTAGTTTCATATGGAACAAAGGTTCCAATCCCTCACATCTTTGATGAGTTTCCGTTCTTGAATCATTAGGAACGCTACTTGTACTACCTTTCGGCTTAAGGCGTCAGCTACCACATTAGCCTTGCCCGGATGGTATTTTATCTGGTAATCATAATCCTTGGGCAACTCCATCCATCGTCGTTGCCTCATGTTTAGTTCTTTTTAATCCTGCAGGTACTTGAGACTTTTATGGTCACAATATAGTTCAACGGTTGCTCCATATAGATAATGCTTCCAGATTTTTAAGGCATAAACTATTGCAGCTAATTCTAAGTTGTGAGTGGGATAATTCTCTTCATGAGACTTTAACTGTCGTGAGGTGTAGGCGACTACTCGTCCTTGCTACATTAATACACACCCTAATCCTTGCTTGCTAGCATTGGTATATACAACATACGGTAGGGTTGGATCGGGAATTATTAGCACAAGGGTTGAGGTCAACCTTCGTTTCAGCTCTTGGAAGCTAGCCTCACATTTATCATCCCACACGAATTGCTAGTTCTTACGTGTAAGTTTAGTCAGGGGCTGTGCAATTCTTGAAAAATCTTTAATAAATCTTCTATAGTAACCTGCCAATCCCAGAAAGCTTCATATTTCTGTTACTGTTTTGGTTGCTCCCAGTTCAGAACTGCTTCCACCTTACTGGGATCCACTGCTACTCTATCTTAGGTAATCACATGACCCAAGAACTTTACTTCATTCAGCCACAACTTGCAGTTGCTGAGTTTGGCATATAGCCATTTCTCCTTCAAAATACTTAGAACGATCCGTAAATGTTGTTCATGTTTTGCTGGTGACTTGGAATATACTAAGATATCATCAATGAAAACCACCACAAACTAATCTAGATATGGTTGAAAGATCCTGTTCATGTAATCTATGAAAATCGCAGGGGCATTCATTAATCCGAAAGGCATTACCAAGAACTCATAGTGCCCATACCGTGTTCGGAAAGTGGTCTTTAGAATGTCCTTTGCTTTAATCCTCAGTTGATGGTACCCTGATCTCAAGTCAATCTTGGAAACACTGTGGTACCAGCTAATTGATCTAACAAATCGTCTATTTGAGGTAGTGGGTACTTGTTTTTAATTGTCACTTTGTTGAGCTCTCGGTAATCAATACATAACCGTAGACTACTGTCCTTTTTATGGACAAACAAGACGGGTGCTCCCAATGGTGACACACTGGGTCGAATAAAATTCTTTTCTAATAGCTCCTCTAACTGCTTCTTTAGTTCTGCCATTTCATTTGGAGCCATACGATACGGGGCTTTGGAAATCGGCCCTACTCCCGGTACCATGTCAATTGTAAATTCTACCTCTCGTTTCGGGGGTAACCTGCTAATTTCTGTCGGAAAGACTTTCGGAAAATTACATACCACGGGTATCTCTGTTATGCCTTCTTCCACTTCTGCATGTATAGAGAAGAATACCACATACCCCTAACAGCCATGTCTTAGGCAATCCTCGGCTTGGGCTCCCGTAATCAAGTTCAGTTTCACCTCGGTACAAGGGGTTAGCTCATGGGGAGGAAAAATCAAAGTCCTATCCTTACAGTCAAGGAGTATATTATGGGTAGACAGCCAATTCAGGCCAAGTATCACGTCAATCTCATAAAAAGGCATACATATTAGGTCAAGTGTAGTGCAACAGTGGGCATACCAGACAATACAATTTAGGCAAACATCAGACGTATAAACTTTAGTGCCCGTAGGAGTAGCCACACATAGATCATATAATAATGTGTTAACAGCAGGTCCTATGCACTTTGCGTAATCATATGCAATAAAGGAGTGGTTAGCACCCGAGTCAAACATAGCGTGCACAAGGTAATTATTAACTTGAATCGTACCTTGTATCATCTCAGGCGACTTATCAGCCTCTTCCCTTGTGAGGGCAAAAACCCTCCCTTGAGTTGGGGGCCTCGAGCCGTCCACATTAAGAGGGCACTCCTTTATATAGTGTCCAGGCTTGTCACATCGGAAGCACACGTTTTGACCCATCAAACATGGTCAATCTCTGTGGTTTTTACCACAGATGCTACATTCCTTGGTCTGGCGCATAGTGCTGCTTCCTCCTTGCCTTGCTCCTCCTCCTCGTTTAGACTTCTTGGAAAACATAGGCTTTCACCTCTTCCTATTTCCTCCGGAAGAAGTCCCCTCTGGTCCTCCCCTTATTGCTAGTCCTTCTAGTCTAGGAGTGGCCGTGACTAATGCCTGGTGGTTCAGGCTACTTTCAGTAATCCAGCAGGCTTCCACTGCCTGATTGAACTTCTCAAGTTGCCATGGGGCTACCTTCTCCCTCAGCTCCTGTCTTAGTCCCCTTACCATTTTCTCTGTTTTCCATCACTCATCATTGCGGAGTTGGAGGTAGTTAGAGTAATGAGAGAGCCTCATGTACCTATCTAGGTGCTCATCGAAGGACTCTCGAGGACCTTGTTGAATCATTAGAAATTCCACCTCTTTTTCATCTCTTACTGACAGTGGGAAGTATTTCGAATTAAAGTGTTCCTTGAACACTTCCCAGGTAATAGGGGTTGCATTCTCTTAGAGGATCATCTCAGTGTTCTTCCACCAGCGATTAGCTTCACCCTCCAATTTATAAATAGCCATCTGAGCTTTTCTCTCAGAGGAACATTCAAGCACATTAAAAATCTTCTCTAGCCGAGTGATCCAGTCCTCGGCCACTTGGACATTCAATGTCCCTATGAAACTCGGGGGATTCTGTGCACTGAATCGTTTAATCCACTGTCTTAGTGAATCATGATCCCCTACAGGTCGCACCTGCTCAGCTACCGGCTCTTGGGGTTGAGCTGGCTGTGGTACCTCGGCCACTCTGGGCCCGGCCTGTTGCAGCTGTGCTACCGTTGCTGTCACTGCGGTTGCTATGGCAGCATCGCGTTCCTAGTCTTGGCGTGCTTGGGCCGCCTGAATTTCTTGCATCACCTTTTGCTGTTCCTCTAGTTGGTCTATAACCAATTGAATTGGGTCAATAGGAGGTTCTCTTGCTGCCTCCCTTGGTTGTGTTTCTCTTCGGGGTTCTCACCATTTTACTTAACTTGTTACTACAAGAGGAACAGAGGAATAAGATTATTACTTAGTCATCAAAATATTTTATACTAAGCTATGCTTCATATTTGTACATAGATAGGTTTCAGGTATAAGCATCCAAAACATAGATCATCCAAGTCACATATACAGTCATCCACTCAAGACGTGGGAGAGAAAGGAAAATAAGAAGTAACAAAAAGCTCCAATTCATCCAGGATCTGATCAAAGCTCCCATAGGCACCTTGCTTGGAGCGGTCACTAACCAGCTAGATCTGATCCTGCCAAACAGGGGTCCTTGGCAAAGAGTCGACTAGGGCCTGTCCCTACATCTCCTCATCTATCTCTCCCTCATCCTGGTCGGCGATATCACTATGTAACAGTCGTACGTAGTAAAAATAGTCCATATAAATGTACCCATACTGGTTATGGGAGATGTCAATGTAACATTAGTTATCTCCAACCTGTTACTAACCTTTTTAAACTCTAAATATTTAATAATACTATGGTAAAAAAGAATCTTAGTATAATATTTGAAAAGGCCACCATGGTTATAAAAAGAAATTTGATTTGCCAAAAATGTTAATCATGATAGAAAAGACTTGAACTAATTATTCAAAATGTCTATCATGATTATAAGAGTTTTACTAAGCAAATTGTATGAAAACCGTAATTAATAATATTTCACAATAATTGGGCCTTAGGCTTTGCAAAGTCCAGCACGTCACAATTCATCTCTAAGCCCATAACATGATATTTTCTGAATAAAATTTGTCCAAACCAACAGTAATCAACTACTTTCAAAAGTCATTATGGGTTCACATCTTACAGACCCAAGCAACTCGACAACAAAAGTAACTAAGACTATAAGTCTCAAATAAATCAGAGTATGCAAAAAGAGCTATATGTGGCAATATACAATACTCATCACATGACAAAAAGGAGGCTATACAAGATAAACATGATAGCTAAGCCTTCACTGCCTTCCCTGACGGACCAGCCCTAAAGCTATTATCTGAAAATGTTAAACAATGGGGTGAGACAAAAGCCTCAGTAACCAACAATCCTACTCATTAGGCATACAAGTAAGTGTTTGAGAGGTGTCAAGTGGAACAGTTACTAAAATCATACCTTCACAATTGTCACATGGTTATACACACACACACACACACACACACACACACACACACACACACATCAACATACAATATCGCACTCTCAATTCCACCTTATTTCCTCTGACTAAACCCATGGGCTAG